AAAATCACAAACTGTGTTGTGACCCTCTCCTGCTTCAAGCCCATTCTGAACAGTCAGGGTGAAAGCATTACATTCCACTCACGTAACACACCTGCTGCTGTGAGAGAGCGGGAACAATAATTACGCACTGTAAAAGTCCCACAACGTCAGGAGAGCGAAATAATTCACTGAGCCACGGTGCCGAAGATCTCATGGCGCACAGCACCTGTACACACACACACACACACACACACACACATACACACACACGGTAATCTAATGTTGGGAAAACAGGCAGGAAAATCAGTCCAAAAATCACATACAGGTAAATTAGAAAGGAACCTCAGCATTTAAAAATAATTTTTGTATGTCGTCATGTATGAAAAGAACCAAAATGAACACTGTAAGTGGACTTGGTACCACATGACTTTAAATCAGTGGTTCTCAAACATTTTTACATGAAGGAGCTCTAAACTGACACAAATGAAACGATGGACCGATGGAGATGTTTTGTTTGTAGATGTTTTATTACAGAAAGTGTTTGAAATGCATAATAGTCATACATCCTGCCATTGTGTTACACATATATGGTATAGAGAGAATAAATTATTTTCCTTTTTGCTGGAGACCCCCCCGGAACTCCCTCAAGGACCCTTGGTGTTCCCCGGACCCCCCAAATTATTTAAACAGCATTTGTATAGGAATAATTCTCTCCCAGATTTTTGATCACTATCAGCGGTTTCCACTGTGCACACTTTCTGTCTTCCCAGCTCTCACTAGCTCTTTGTGCAATTCACCACTGTATGTTTTTGTATACAAGCATAATTAAAGTTCTTATACCAGAGTAACTTAACATTTACATAAAATTTGGAGAATTTTGCAGAAAAATAAGGCCAGATTTATATTTTCTAGCTATCAGGGCAGTTTCCAAAGCAAATTTATGCAAAAAATACATAGGAGGGTTATCCAGAACTCAGTACCACGTCTGAAAGGCTCTCTGCCTGCTTGTTCAGTGTAATGGTTATGTACATAGGTTGCAGGTATCAAACTAGACATGTTGCCACCCACTGATCAGTGCTTGTCACATCACATCAGAGCTGTGAGTTTTAAGCCGAGCTGACTGCCACGTGTCTTTCAGACTTGACTGACACTTTGCAGCTGCTTCGTGCCAGAACTTTTCCGTTAGCGCTGCACAGTGCTGTGTTATTGCTGAACAAGCCCGGGGTATTTTTCTGCCTGTCTGATGCATTTAAATATTGAGCCAATCACATGTTGCCTGGAGGGGAGTCTCCATGCATCTCCGCAGCACCACCACCTCCACCTCCATCCTCTGCCTCTCGAGGTTCCTCAGTCTTCATTTCAACTCAGTTTTCCTTTTCTTTTTTTTTTCTTTTTTTTTTTTTTCTTTCGATCCAAATGTCAGCCGTTATCATTGAATTAGCGTGCTGCTGACCAGCTGGCCTTTGTTCACTGTTTACCCCCTCACCTTTTTCAAGGGTGAGACAGGCAGAAATCTCATAACAATAAGATCACAGGATGCTCAAAGTTCTTATGGAAGAAAAAGTCAGCCCTGTGAAATGTAAAATGTACAGATTATTTTATACCACTGAACTCTCCTTATCAAATGCTGCTTTTCTTTCTCTCTTTTATTGCTTGAATTTGTTCCATTCTTCTCTTTCTTCTTCATCCACCCACCCAACCCTGTCGGCTCTTGACTCCGAACCTGACTTGACAACTTGTCTCCTCTCCTTTTTTCCTTCCGTCTCAACAGAAATCCACAAGAACGTGATCTCCCCCCTGGAGGGCGACACCAAAGAGCACGTGCTGCACCAGAGGCACACGGAGCTGAAGCACAAAATGAGAGACCTCAATCAGGGCTTCGAGCGCCTCCGTAAGCTCAGCCACGAAGGCTTCACTGAAGACAGTGGTGAGGGAGACCACACACACACACACACACACACACACACACACACACACACACACACACACACACAACTTGTTTGTCTCTTTCTGCATCTCAGTCTCACTCTGCATTTATCTCATCATCTTAATCACTGGGATTTGTAATCATAATAACTCACTGCTGCATCACAGTTGCCGACTGTTGATACACTAATGGCTTAACACAAGTGTTTTGTGCTTTTAGTTTCAAATTGAACGTCTAAAATGAGAGAAAAATGAGAAAAAGACCATTTGAAAGAGGGTTATTTAAAACTCTCCATAGTGCTGCACCCCCTCCACTGATGTAAACCAGTTTGTCCTTGTGCTATTAAACTCAGAGAAAACATTCATTACTCTGTCATGATTGAATTTTCCTGTAGTTTATCATCTTTTTATCTCCGTTATTCTGCCGCTTTTGGCCATGTGGGCTGCAGGTTTGAGAGGTATGTGAGGTCTCAGTCATGTAGGTTTCACTCTGTAGTTTAGATGAAGGCGATGCTGTTTCTGCTGATTCATACTGACTCTTTTACTTCTTCTCTACTCACTCCCCTCCAGGTTGTTGCTCACTCAACCACCTCTTGCACAAAACAGTCTTAATCTCCTTCTGTTTTCTTCGTCTGGTTTTGTTAGTCATGCAGTTTTGCAGTACTTAAGCAGTGGCAGCAACTCAAGATGAGATGTGAATGCAAGCAGTTTTCTTCTCTTTGATATTGTGTGTATATACTAAATGACTGCGCAACCGGGGTGGCTCGTTGTTGTGAATGTATCTTATAAAACATCTACTGTGACTGCTCCTCTTCAAAGCTCCCTCCCTCCGGAGTGTGCGACTATTGGTGAGGCTCCAAACTGTCTCCTCGGACTGTTTATCTCTTCATCTTCCTCTCTGTCTGTTCTTCCTCTGTAGAGTTTCGGGAACCTCGTGTGATTGAACTGTGGGAGGCTGCCAAGAGAGGCAACCTCAGTGAAGACGAGCTGGACTCTCTCAAGGTAGCTCTTAAATCTCTTATGACAGCTTTCTGGACACCTCTGCTCTCAGACGTTTGTAGATACTGCTTTTTGTTTTATCACACTGCTGCAACTTTCCTGAAACTTTTTAACCACGTGCTCTTTTGGTAACACAATTAACTTCTGTAGTGTACTTGATGGATAAGTACTACTTGTGTACGGTGAATCACGAAGCAGAGAGTGCATCTTATTATGGCCTATCTTATGCATTACACATTTGAAATGCACAGGTATTCTACTCTCCTATCTGTGCTCCTTTCACCCTTTGTCCCATGAGCAGATGAACGCAGTGAGCAACTCAATTTAAATTTCAATTTTTTTTTTAAAGGCATCTGGCTCCAAGATCAGATGTATCACAGGGAAATGTTCAGCTCGTATTTTCTGTGTGACATTTCCTCTCTAGTCATTTGAGATGCATATCAGCTCCTCTGTGCAGCTGTGCATGCATTGAAGGTGAACTGAACTTGCACCCCCATCGTGTTCGCTGTGCTCCTTTCCTATATCATTTAGGAGGAGCTGCGTCACTTCGAGACCAAGGTGGAGAAGCATAGCCATTACCAGGAGCAGCTGGAGCTGTCCCACCAGAAGCTGCAACACGTGGAGGCTTTAGGAGACAAAGAACACATCAAGAGGAACCAGGAAAAGTACAACACACTCGCTGAGAAGACCAGAGAGATGGGCTACAAGGTAAGGAGGGATAACAAAGCTGACTATTAGCTTTTAACTCCACACACTGCCAGTGAACGCTATTGACCAATGACTGACTGCTCACCAGCTGCCCAAACTAATATGGTCGCAAAATGGGAACGGAATAAAAACTGTTATGGTGTTGAAAAATGTAGTTACAAAGAAATGAGGGACAAAGGTTAACAGCACATCATATTGTTCCTGTCAAAGGAGACTCTTATTCTGGAGTTACAACACAACAGTCGTAAAGGAAAGACTGTTGGGTAATGTTGGAGAGCTCCGAAAGGAAAAGCTTTGATCAAACCTCATACAAAGAAAACCTATTTGTACCCTGTTATAAATACTGTATATTAATGTTTACGAGTATGGTCAGAAGCAAAGCATGCTGGTAACCAAATGTATTAAAAAGCATGAATAAAAGGCATTGACAATGATTCTTTGTCTTGATTTCAGATGAAGAAACACATGCAGGATTTGTCCAACAAGATCTCTCGTCAAGGACTCGAGCACAATGAGCTCTGAGAGGCTCGACTCAAGGTCATTACGTCAGTGAAGGTTGAATGAACTGAAATAATTCCCTCCATCACCACACAGCATACACCACATTCCCCTCCATTCCCTTTCATCTACTGTAAAAAGAATCTGTTTTTTCCATTGAAGGTTTTCTACTTTTCTAGTTATTGATTTTACAAATTGCTGAATGAGTGAATTGTAGGTTGTTTGTACAGAGATTTTTTCTTGTAAATCAGATTGATTTTATTGTGAAATTGACCTGCTAAGATTATCAAGGTACAGATTAAACAAAGATTAAATAGTTTACACATTAGTCTGGTACTCTGTAGCGACATTTATCTGTACAACTAATGACAGGCAGGTGTGGGAGAAATGTCACATTGTGGTGCAAAAACTGGAACCATGGCTTGACTCCAAGAAAGCCAAATTTTGTGGAGGTGGTTGTTGAAGAATGGACAGCAGCAGCTGAGTCAGCCTTAACCAGATGATGTAGCTCAGCTGCTGAGCGATGATGGTGGAGGTCCTGGAGAGCAGCCAGCCAACTGCACACGTACTTCATCTTGTCAGAGTATTGGCACATCGGTGGCCAGACAATTTGTCCACATCCCTCTGTCGTTAGTTGCGCAAATAATAAATGCTACGTCACATAGGCAGTTACTACTGTAGAGACTCAAACCTTGATCTGCTGAAGTATTGTAATGTTACCGCTTTCGTTTGATCAATATAAAATAAAGAACGCTACAGATTCAGGTAAGAAGCACTGAAACCATGAAACCTGAAAATGTTACGGCAATCTTTAATATTCAGTAATATACAAGTGCCAAAAACATACAAACAGTAATATTTTAAAAATATAGTTCCATATAATTTATATTGTCTTGGCATAAATAAAAGCAGTGACTATTTACACATGTTGTAGACAAAACCAGTTCCTGTGGAAACATCAACGCGCTGTTCTTGGTAAAAATTTCTTATGCGTCATTCTCGCGTTGTTTTATTAATCCTCATCTCCTCCTCAGACACCGTTGGGGAACCTCCACCATAAAAACAGATTATCGTCAAATAGTGGACGATTTGTCCTCATGATATCAAGAGGGAGGTGAGAAATTGGAACACACTGCGCTTTTTCATTCATCAATTCTTGCCCTCTCACAGACCAGAAGCAGAGACATTGATTGCTGTGATGAATAATGTTACCTGCTGGCTTATTACGCAGTCATGTCCTGCTCAGGCCACATGGGCCTGGATTAATGTAATTTTCACCCGAGATATATCTCTAAGCTGCTTATTTCAGTCGAATGCTTTTAAGATCTTATGTGGAATGATTGCCAAGCAAGCTGGGACTCTTAGCAGTTGATTGTAAGGTGACAGTGCGATGAGAAGGGCTTTATCTCATTATGTGATCATGCTATACACCAAACCTGTGATAAATAATATGAATTTAAGTTGGAAACTCTTAGAAAGAGAGGTAACAACAAATACAGCCACACCCAAACAGTCTGAAGAAGGTAAATCTAGAGCGACAACTGCTGTTTATCTGTCTCCCATCTGTAATATCAGTGGTAAACATTAGTTCTGGTGTCATTTCCTCATAATTTAGGCCATTTTATGCCATTTTATACCAATGTTCAACAGTCATCCAGCCAGAATCTTAAAAGAGGCACATAGAGAAAAGTTCCTCCGTCCCCAGTTGCCTCAGCGTACTTAAGTGCCATGCAGCTAACAAAAAGAAACATGTCTAGTGTAAAAGGGCAACACTAATTAAAATCTAACTATATGAGAAATTACAACATATAAACAAAACACATCCATGATGGCAGCTGCATAAGAGCCTTCCCAGACATTTCCTATTTTCTTCTTTTCAGTGGAATGGATTGTTTGCGGGAATTTCTGCACACTGGCACAACTATGTGTGTGTGTGTGTGTGTGTGTGTGTTTAAGTATGATGATCAACTGCATTTTAGCTTATTCAGAGAGATGGAGAGAATGAAAACTATTCTAAAGTGTTATCAAGTTGAGCGTTGCAGAGTCAGTGCGGTGGCCCTCGCCGCCTGTTCTCCAGCTGAGTCAGTCTGTCCTCCCTGCCCTGAACATGCTCCGCCCCCACTCTGTGAGCCGTTTCCATGGCAGTGATGTCGAGGTGGGCGTACCTGACGGAGCCCTCTTCTGGGTCGGGAAATCAGTGGTGAAGGGGGAGATGAGACAGAACATTAACATTTCTACAGTTTGACACAGGTTCTTTAACATTGTCACATACAGGAAAAACATGCTATGTAATGTAATTCTTTGACCCTTTAGTAACTCAACCTTACACCATTTTCTGAAGACAACATTTTCCTAACTGATGGTGCTGTTGATATATCTGTCAAGCATTTTCCAGTGATTTAAAAATCCATCAAATTACTTTTAAATTAGGATGATACCTTTTAATTTGCCAGTTCACACCTTTTTAATACATTTAAACCATTTGTTAATACTTTGTGTCACTGTATAATTCTTCATTTTTATAATGCTTCATTTTCACCATCCAATGTGTGATTATGCTCCATAAATTAGGCTCTTAAGTAGCAATAAAAATTAAATTAAGGTCTGTTTGTCATGAATAAATTGTCTGTCTGTACTTAGTGATAGTGGTACTTAGTTGCTGCAATAAAAACACATTTTCATTTCCATATGCTTTTTTTTTTTTTTTTTTTTAAAGCTGATAGAGAGACAGATGCAAGCGGGAAAATAAACAGCAGTTGCATGATACCCTCAACCAAACCACATGTAAATTTGCATATGTTTTAGTAAGAATCAGTTCACAGACTGCTTGAATAGTTAACAAATTTACCACCCTGCCAGTGACCGGCAAGTGCATGAGACAGACATTGTTGGCAAAGCATCAGAAAACTTTTTTTTCTATATTTCAGTAATATTTTCCTCAGCCATCGCTGTGGTTTATACCCCTCCATAAATGTGCACAGTGTGTCACATACTTCTACACATAATGCTGTACATGCTAATAATGCATTAAGCCTATGGGTGGCAGAAACGTTGGATGCAAAAGCTGACATAAAGGCAATATCACAGAGGACATAGAGAAGGAAGAAGCACCAGGAAAAGACAAACAGATCCAAAATGGCCGTTTAAGGCTCGGTGTTCTTACTGGGTCTGCAGAGTTGCAAAGTGTTACCTCTGACAGCACTATGCAGACTGGAGACTGGGGCTGAGCCGGCCTCATGCAGGTCCAGCTCTGTGTACAGGAGCTCTCTGTTAGTTTTAGCCGGCAGGGGGCTAATTGGGATGTTGACATAATTAATAGTGCTGTCACTGTGGAGCCCAGCGTCCAGGAACACAGAGGCAGGAGCTTCATGGGGAGACTGGAACAAACCTGAAGGAAAAATCCAAAAGAGGAGCTGTTAAAGTGGCTGCACAGATGACCCAGGGCCAGAACGATGAAGTGTCGATTTGTCATCAGAAAGCTAACCTTGATTAAGAAGAAACCTACCTGAAAAACATTAGTCATTACAATGGATTAATCAGAAATGAAGTAATTCTCTTACCACCGGCTGATGTTGGCCTATACATGCTCAGTGTGGTAGGCAGAGGTGGAGGGGCAGAGGGAGGCCGAGAGGGCAACGACTTCTTCAGACCTGCCAACTTATTACCAACATCCACACTGTCGTCGTGTTCCTCTCTGACACAGAGAGGAGGATCTGAGGAGCACAGGAGGTTTTGACACTGATTCACTTTAATTCACAGTCACACAGTAAAGGCCGCTGATGGAATCACTTTAGTGATAAAACAATGCCTAAATACTGCATTATAAGAAAGTTCTTCATTAAAAATCTTGCTTAAGTAAAAATATAAATCAGCAAATAAGAGTAAGGTTATTCCAAAGAATGACATATGGCTTTCTTCCAGTCTGGCTTTCCACTTTACTTGAAACACATCATCAGGAAACCACAGCTACAGTTACAATGTATTATATGAATTGGGCTGATGCTTCCATGTCCAAACCTTAACAGACTGTAAGTCACTCTACAACCTGACTTGTCATTTCGTAAATGTGAAATCTTCAAATCAAAGTGGTCATCATGCAGCAGAATGGCCCCTGTCAGTGTCCGTTATTTAATTATCACTCACACATAAACATGTTAACGGCACAGGTCATTTTAACTGTCTTTAGAGTAATTAAGTGTTGAAATAACTACAGCTGTCAAATAAATGCAGTGGAGTAGAAGTATAAAGTAAAATAAAAATGGAAATATGCATGTACCTCAGAATTTTATTTAAGACACATGCACAACGTTGCATTCACAAACACACCTCTTGTATCTGCAGAAGGTGAGAGGCCCGATGCCGGTGAGTTGGGAACCTACAAAATAAATCACAACATAATTTCAAAGATTTTATCTTGAAGCACTCATGAAATTGGTTCACGTTTCTACAATTTATTCCTTTCTTCTGTATCACTTTAAAATAAATAAGCTTGTTTATTAACTGATTTATTTCTTATGAATTCAGCGTTTCATGTGTGTGTAAGAGGAAGAGTGTGATATTTCTTTCTTCAAGTGTCACCCAGTCTTGCTTTAGACATACAACAGCTCTCTTCTATGGCTCCTGAGTGACACGAGCTAAAACAGGCAGATAAAATCTCACCTGAGTCAAGCATCTGTTCCTCGCTGACCGCCACTGCTCCGGTGTAATGTAGTTGTCCAAACCATCATTGCACTAGGCGGGGAGACAAGAGAGGTTATCATCGAGGCAGGGTTAATTGTTTCTCACTGCAGCATTCAATATTGTTACCGGCTAAAAAGGAAAACAGCAACTTTTCAGACCCATGAAGAAGAAATTCTCAGCAGGTGTGGGCAGAGAAGCAGCTTAGAGAGGGACTGATAAGAAGAAAGAAGGAAGGGGTGGTGGGCGAGGGTAGAGAAAAGAGGGTGGTATAGAGCCGAGAGGACAAGCTGACATCTTTAGAGGTGGCAGACAGGAGACAAAGGGATAGCTGGCTCAGACATGAGAAATCTCTGACAGCGTGTCCCAATTTAACATTTTCTCCTGCCCACAGCAGCTATTAACACAGCAGGCCGGAGCTTCAGGAATATTATCTGTCACACGGTTTGTTTCAACGGACATAATACAACTTGTGGAATCAGGCATCGTCTCATTACCCGACATGAAAGGTATGTCGCTTTTGCCACATTGAACTGCTGACACTTCAGAGCTGAGGAATGATGAATAAAGAAATCTCATTTGTGTTTCATAGCACAAGATTCTCCTCTCTGAGGGTTTCTGTTGGTTTCATCACTACTCGTTAACTTTCTCTGTCCCCTTTTGCTCTCCCTCTTGCCAGCACACACACATGCAGTATAATGAACATGCACGTGTACACACACACACACACACACACACACACACACACACACACACACACACTCCTACTCAAGCTGTCAGAAATCACAAGACATGCTGCTCCCTCTCCTGCTCGGATGATACTCTCCTCGCTACAACGGGGAAGCACTTTTCACAACCCATCAGAAAATTAATTAGACACAATGTGGAGAAGTCTCCTCTGAGAGCTTTTGAGGTTGCAGACTAAAGTATCAAAGGGAAAACAACAGCGGCTCTAGACAGGTTTTTGATGGAAACCCACACCTGCTTTTTTACAATTGTTGTTTTCCTATATTTGTGGTTCTGGGGCTCAGCGGGTGGTTCTGTCACCTCGCAGTGAGGAGGACCTGGCTTTGATTCGCCGTCACTTCTGCCTGGTGTTTGAATCTTATCTCACCACGTCTCCACGCCCCGTGGGTTTCAAACCAAAGACGTCCAAAGTCACTTGGACCGAGGACTAAACTGGCCATATGGCAGTGACTGAGGAGGCATGCTGTGACTGCAGGAGGACAGCCATACCGCACATGCTCAGTTAATTTCATAACCTGTATTTTTTGTCATACTGTCCTGACATTTTGTATGAATTCATCAAAAGCACAGGATGTCCTGTCATGGCTGATAGGGTGGGGACGGTTGCAACAAGTTGTTGTAACCGTCCCCCAAGCTAAGCAGCCATGACCACACAACCGTATGTTTCAACATTTGTGATTCAGAATAGGCAAAATATGCAGCTAATATTGTCCCGCAGCACAACAGATGCAGCAATTATTGCTCATTTCAATGCATGAGAGAATAGAAACAAGTTATTTTGGGAATTATTTTGTAGCCTCAAGGTTGACCTATGTTCTATACAAAAACACTAAATTCAATAACTGTTCTTTGATAAATATTGCTAAATAAATAACAATATTATGATAGTGTAAATAAATAATACCATAATACTATTGTAACACAATGGATATTTTCAGAATATTATGTTGCAACCATCCCTGATTTGTGTTGCAACCGTCCACAGGGTTGGGGTAAGTTGCAACATCTGAATTCTTCCGTTCAAATAAACTTTGTGGATAATATGTCACATGTAATCATCTTTACATGGTATGGGCAATTAGCAGACAGATGCCAGTTTAATATATAAAGGTTTGGCTGGTCTAGTCTAAATACTGTAGTCTCTCCCTAACCATGGTACAGTGTAATGATTTATGATGCTGGTGATCCTCAGGTTGAATCACAGTATGTTTTATAGAGAAATGATTATATTGCTGTTTTTCTGCTCCTGTGCTGAGGTCTGCTCAGCATTTTGCAGTGTTATCAACCGCTACATGAGCCTTTAAGGCATTGACTAGTGTAAATCACATTTACAAAGCCAGCCACCCAAGTGACTCATTAGGCTGAATAGCAAGTAGCAGTGTGTAAGTGAATAGGGCAGATAATTGCTGCTTGAACTGCTGGTGCATCAGTAGCAAACACTGCAGAATTATATGACGAGGGCAAAAGTTAAAATGACTGCAAAGGCCAAACAGAAGAAAACTGCATTAGAGTAGTAGAGCCTCACCGAGACTGCCTTAAAGACATTTACTGTGCAAATGTTGTACAATCTACAGTCCAACCTACGGCCTGAGAAATTACCACAGAGATAAATCCACATCTCTGACATCATCAACAAAAACCAAACATTGCTAGCTTCAACTGCTTTCCTTATAGATTTATCCTCTTTTATTTTACACATTCTTTCTGTGGAGTTTCTTTTATATGTGGACTTTGTGACCACTGTGAAGTGCATTTCCCAAGTGTTGCATGAGAGAGTGCTCTATTTGATGTAATTATAAACTTTCCCTGATGAAGGTCAAGTGGTGAGAGTGAGAGCTTCAGATAGTACTTCAGAATATGTAGTACATTTATCTTTCAGCCACAGCTACTAGCTACTTTGTTCAATCAAGATTTTACATAAAAACATCTGATAATCTTATAATGCACTTTAATTGATAATGATCAAACCAGTGGATTCTAACCTTTTTTTGGTTTGTGACACAGCAGTGTGTAGTTGAGGCCTCTTGCCATCATGAGATGTCTCTGAGCAGTTCCACCTGAGAGTGACTTCAGATGGTTTCATTCGAATAACTGACACCCAAAGAGGTCAAATTGCTTCATATTTCACAAGAAAGCAAAGATAAGAGAAAAGTTTGAAAAAAAAAAAACGTATTTTTTCCTTCCTCTCTTTCAAACACCACCAGATTTATTTATAATATCAGTCACAGGGACTGTTTTTCTGCTGATTGACTACTTCTACTTTTGATACTTTGAGTACATTTAGCTGTAAACAACTGTCTATGCAAGTAGGATTTTAAATGCAGGACTTGTACATGTATTGAAGTTTATTAGTACTGCATGTCCACCGGAGTAACTCCCAAATCCATTACTGCAAAAACATACGAGCTACGTCTTCATTTTCGTTGCTGAGTGACAGCAAAGATGGAAACAGAGGTCTTGCTCCAGGATCATCTACAGCAGAGTCTCACTGAGGCTGCTCCACTCTAATACAGCAAAATGTCTGTGACAGCAGGAGCCAACTCAGTAACTTCAGCAATATCACTCGTACCCGCCCCGGCTCTTTTCTCTTCCCTCAAGATCCAAATCACAATTCTACCAAGGAGCTCACCCTCGCTTATCAGCACAAGAGATAGATACATAAAATCCCCTTTTTATTAGCACAAGAATGAAAAAATATCACTGTGGGCTCAATAAATGTGAGCAGGCACATTAAAGAGAGATTTGCATCTGTGGGAGCAAACCCAAGAGCTGGAGTAAGTGATTAGCATGATTTGCAAACATTTTGTTTCATTTCATTACTTAATGCAAACGTTAGCATGGAAACAAAAGTCCTAAAGAGAACCTGAAGGATTTCTCTACGATGCTGCCGTTCAATGACAGAATCTTATTTATTAATCATTGTTTACATTTTCTTGGATTATACTGTATTGTAATGTTATGAAACAAATCGCCTCAGGGTGATTAGACTCTAGAATTATAATTAAGAGAAGCTTAGTTTCTCTGCTCCTTTTAATAGAGGCTGAGTGAAATGTCTGTAACTGATGTGATCCAATTTCTGAACCGGGGTTTTAGGTTCAAAGAGGATTCAAGACATGATACTCCCTCTGATGTGCTGCATCCTGCCATTCTGTTGGTTGACTGGTTGATTGATTTATTGATGTAACCTATATGGTGTGAGACTGCCAGTACCTGTGTTTCTTCACAAACCAGGCCTCCGGGCACCATCGGGGGTCTGGCTGTGGACCTCCCCTCGCTGTCCACAGAGGGCGCCCTCTCACCGCCCCAGGAATGCGCAAGCTGCATCATGTCCTGATGCTGAGCCCTCGGTCCTGTGGGGCTGCTGCACAACCCCTGACTACCCTCTCCATCCCCACTGTTCCTGCTGACTCTGCCCAGCTCAGGTAGTGCTCCATGGGCTGAGGTTTCCCTCAGGGACAGAGTCTGGAGGAGACTCCTGGGGGTATCATAGCGTAGTCTGAGCAGGCTGGGGATCTGGTACTCCTCACTGTGCCGACCAGATGCACATGAGCTGGATTTGGAGGCAGCAGAACTGTGTTCTGGGGTGAGTGTGGACTGAGAAGGAGAAGGAGGAGGAGGAGGAGGAGAAGAGGGGGGAAGAATAGAGAGAGGTGAAGAAGGAGGAGGAGGAACAGGTAGGCTAGCCACAGAGCCAAACTCCTCCCCTCCTCCCTGGCTGGCCGTGTCCAGACTCCCTGTACACGAGGAGCAGCTCCCTGAGTAAGACGACTGGCTGCCTGTCGCTATCCCAATCCCACTGTCTAAGGAGCTCTGCCGTCCGCTGTCATGGAGACCACGAGGATGGGGTTGGGCAGAGGATGGGCGAATCCCAGCACCTCCCATCACAGCAGCGTAAAGCCGATCATCTGAACTGGCCAAGGCCTTCACCGTGGAGGAACTGGAAGCTGTCTCGTTGGAGAGGTGTGGTCTAGCTAACGGCTCCACCCTAAACGGAAGTCTGCTTCCATAGCTCGTGTCTGATTGGCTGGAGGACGAGCTGGAGATGCTGCTGCGGTCGTCCCCGGCAACAGATGTGCTGCAGCTGTAAGTGGAGGCTGAGGAGGCAAGAATTTATATTATATTATATTATTTCTTTATGAGACGCAAATGCAAACAATTAAATGCATCCGTATAAACCAACCAGAAAGTTAAACCGCTGTTTACAGAACATTTAACTCATTATATATAAATCATGTTTTTAAGTTGGCTCAGGGTGCAAAATTTTATGACCCTGCAGAATCAGTTTTCAGTCAACTGTCCTCATTTGAGGTCGTCTACAGGTGTTTCTATGCAGCGAGGACAGAAATGATTAAGTTTTTTTTTCCCTCAAACTCTCTCAGAGCTTTAGAGTTAATCAGCAAAAATTAATCATGGGACCCCTGACAACACTGAGCCTCACACCTCTGAATAATATACCCACATTATTGAAAATAAATGACAAAAACTTGCCCAGAATGTCTTCATAAATACAGACGAGTGATTAAGCCTTTGTGTGGACAGAATGCCAGCAAGGCCGAGCATACAGATGAGCGCAATGATGAGTCAGAAATTCATGATTTAAAGTTCTGAGGGCCTTGAGATAAGGCATACTGTCACTCGGATGCATTACAGAGTGCTCATGTGTAGATGCTCATACATACTCATGTATACCGTGAGGTGAAGTTTAGAGAATAACGTACCTGTGCTGCTCGCGAGGCTGCAGTGAGACAACATGCTGAGTCTCTTCTCCAGCTCTGATGCCTCCTGGCTGATTCGCTCCTCTGCTGAAGCTGGGTCAGCATTGGGATCTGCTATATACACATATGACACACAGCACATAGAGACATACATGAACACACAAAGAGCACAAACTATCATGCAACATAACAACACGATCTACCTTGTTACATTTTAAATAAAGTTTAATACTGAAGCTCTCCACCTTAACACGCTGTGACAGTTTCATATCACCATTTCACACCACAATTTCCCCCGGACATGGGTTTAATACATGTTTATTTTATATCTATGCTGAACATGAACACAGTGGCTGGTGTTTTCCTATTGAACACAATACAATAACTTTTACCATTACAGTAGCAAATACTGAAATCCCCATTAGAGATTATACACTGTTTATCCTAGAGGCTGTGTCATGAAGCTGTTGAACCGTGTGGAAGTTGTTTATGAAATATTTAAATCTGTAAAATGGGGGAATATAATCAAATGAATTCCCTTAACCAAACATATACACTAGCATACAAACTAAACTATTAACTAAATATCCATGATAAAACATGTAGCATAATATCATATAGCACATATAGATCCTGACTGTAGCTGAAATGGTCTTTGAAACATGAATGAATCCCCTGCAGTTATAGTGACTTCTCTTTTAATAAAGGCAAAATGATGAAAACATATTTCAGAGTACTACAATGTCACTTAGAAATGTGCATCTAATATACCTATATATATATTATAAATATATATGTATGAGTCTTGTATGTGTTGCTGTCAGCATTAGTATGCAAGGCCCTATAGGGGCAGCATGCAGGTTAAAAAAAATTTAAACTGCAGCTTCCCTCACACATTCCCTCACATACTGTGAGCCAACCTGTGTCAGTCTGCCCGGGGGCCCACTGTAACCCCGCGACATTCAGTGCTGTGAAGCAGCTATAATTAGTGCAGACTAGCAACGTTAGCAAATGTTACCTGACACCGCACATAGTGTAGTGAAGAAACTTGGCATCTGCACGTTAGCATTAGCTGCTGCAATCCAGGGGCAGCGATCCAAGGGTTAGGTTGTTGACACCTATACACACAAACACCCTGACCCACTGCAATGCGTGCACACTGGCAAATGCAAACCTTCAAAGCCATGACTCCCCCCTTTACACTCACTCGCCTCTAAAGCATGTACTGTATATATAGCAGGCATTAAGTGTGTAATTGGCAGGATTTTACAGTAAATTGATGTTCCAACAGATAGTCGAGGCGCCTATAACCTCCTTTGGGAGATATTACATTTACAAGCTGGTGGAACAGTTGGAAACACACTCACACACATGGCAGACGTCAGAGGCTGATGCATATAGTAGCACTCCTATAAGTTCTGCTTTGTGAAATATGTTTTTATCATTTTGCCTTTATTAAAAAAGAAGTCACTATAACTGCAGGGGATTCATTCATGTTTAAAAAAGACCATTTCAGCTACAGTCAGGATCTATATGTGTGTGTGTGTGTGTGTGTGTGTGTGTGTGTGTGTGTGTGTGTGTGTGTGTGTGTGTGTGTGTGTGTGTAAATGTGTGTGTAAATGTGTGTATATACAGTGTGAAATGTAGTTGAATGTGAGTTCGGAAAAGGAAAAGGAAACTTTTTTTTTTACTAGAAAACTCCACATGTCACCTTTAAGTTCAGGACTTGAGTAAATAGAGTTACTGTTCCAAAACTGCACACTAAGTGTTTAGAGATACAGAGCAAGCCATCAGTGTGTTGAATAAGACAAGCGTTTGAGATGATTTTCTGGAGTCCTTCTGCAGTTGAGAACTCGCTGACAAGCAATAAATAAATAATGCTACATAGACTTAACTTGACAGGAACATCAAAATATAATGGATGGGAAAACTAGGTACAGGTCAAAAATAATCAGATACTATCATATCTTTAAAAAATAACTGACTGTTAAAAGCGTGTGTGATTCAACAGTGGCAGTAGCTGAAGGCTGAAATGTCTCTTTTTCTCATAGTCTGCTGTTATAGTATTAAAAATTTAAAAGCTGGAGGAAGTTGTAGATTTTTCTCAATGTTGGCATCCATCTTTATCTTTTGCAATTCCATTTAAGTGCATATGTCAAAAAACAGACCCTGAGGCATACTGTATCCATGTGAGTGGATACAGTATGAAAACATTCCCACAGTGGAGTGTGCTTATCTCCATTTCTCCTCAAAGGTATCATAGAGTTGTCAGACCCTCAGTATGTGTCCTGTACAACTTTTCTCTTTCTGACTGTCACTAAACCATCTGTCTCCCTATCTGTGGTCTCAGAAATGCCTGTGAAATTAGCAGTGTGTTACAATAGCACACAAGTCACACAGAAAGGCATGACCCTTTAAACCACACACTGACCCCTGGGGCTTTAAGCATGTGCTGTTTCCGTTAGCATGACGCCAGGCACAAATGCTAAACATGCACACTAAACAGGCAGTAAACCTTTCTAATGGAAGTCACAGAGTCACATACCAACACGATTGATCATTTTGGTTCAGTTGGATGTCTTTTGCAACTATGGTAGTTGCACATTCATTCTTGAATCTGCAATTATTTTGCAATTTTAACCAATTCTGTTTGCAATTTGTGTGTGTGTTTATGCAAGTATGTGTGTGTTCACCTGGCAGGGAAGGTCGCAGGCCATGCGGGGCCCTGCTGGGGGTGATGCCCCTGACCATGCAGTCAAACAGGAAACTGATCTGCTCTCCTTCTGAACAGGACAAGAAGAAAACACCAGCCCCTGGGAGAAAGATGGGAAAGAAACAAAGAAAGCAGCATAGATCAGATATAATTAGCAGTAAAATTAAGTAAACAGTATGTCAGATGGCAGAGGTAAAAGCTGTAGTAAATGCATAATATAGCGTAAAAGCACATTTTTGAGTAAGGCCAAACAATATTCCGAGAGGTTCAGAAGGCTGCTGCAAAGGCAAGGCTGTTCTTTGAGCCAGCAGCAACCTTTTCTTCTAAAGGTTACATAAAACGTCTATCAATTCATCCCCCTCTCGCCTATCACGCCCACACAGAGGTAAGAGTCTGTGAAAACACGAGACAAGCAACAACAAAAAAAAGAAAATCATGACACGTCAAAAGCTCACATAGTGCATAATGGAGATATTGAAACGACAACCCTTACTCAGGAGTTCAGACCAAAAAAAAAAATCTTTGTTCTCATGGAGCTGAGTTTGCTGCTAATAAAAGAGAAAAAACAGCTGAGGAGGGAGAAGACTGTTGAAATATTTCTTTAGAAAAATAACATCTGAGTCAGTTTTTTTGTTTGTTTAAATGGAACATTTAAGCAACATTTTACTATTAAACTTTACTTACTCTACTTTCTTTTATTAAGTGTGTCATCCAGTGCTTTTAAAATAGAGGATTATTTAGCCCTTCAAGCTGAATACTTGTACTGTTTCTGGCCTGAATCATCAGTTAGCAATAAATCTAATGGAAGCCTTTTAGCTTCATTAGCCCTTATGTATTTAATAGTATTTTCTTGAGTCAGTGGAAAAGCTTGAACTGCTTATTGACTCATCAACCTAGTCCCGGTTTCACAATGAGCGGAGATGAAGTATGAAAATAACAGATAATATTGGTGCAAAGCCATTAGCTGAAATGATACTTGTACGAAACCTAGCATTTTACACAGTGAACATTTTTGACAGTAACTGTATAAAACTTATTTTTTTAAAAAAAGTAAAGATGTTCTGCTTCTTAATCCAGACAACTGATCTGAACTGATCGAGGGACTTTTGAGAAGTTGAATGAACAGAATCTCATTGGGTCCATTCTCCAAGTTCAGCCATGATTTTGTGCAGTGACAGCTTCAGAGACTGGCCAAAATAATAGAGACCCTTTACAATCTAGTGGTATCCTTGACAGTTGTACTTTTATGTATCCACATTCTGTAGACAGAGGTGCTCACCCAACTGTGGCCTGATTAATGTCCTAACCTTATTTCCCACTTTCCTCCATGCTTAGTGTATTTTTATGGATTTCACACCATTGTGAGATAGTTTAGCAGGGTGAGAGGTGTTTTGTAATATTTGTCCACACCATTTACGTCGAGGGTTAGCTGAATATCAGGAGGACTTCAATCGACACCTCTACCTCTCTCAGTTTCTGGAAACTGGACATTATAACCTTATTTGATGGGAAGATTTGTTGCACAACTGCTGTATTCGACGGCATTAGTTTTAGGTGTACCTTAAAAGGCAGCTAAATATATATGGGCTATGTGGGCTATGCCTGTATTGATATTCCTTTTCCTTTGTTGTATGCTTAAGTCAATTACATCACGCCTTCACACCTGCAAATTTTGGCTACTTGACTATATGGCAAAGTTCTTAGTGTATAGTAGCCTCTTGACAATTCCATCGCCGACATGGAGCAACGTTGGCAGACATTTGGAGTTGTTATTGTCTCCACCTGATAATTGTAAGTCCGATATTTCCCTTTCTTTTAGCTCTATTTTTGGTCTTCACCAACTTCTGAGGGAAATATCTGCTAACTTCAGTAGAGGAAAAGACGTGATAGAGACAAGAGTTAACATTGGTGTTGCTCTTGGCGCGTGAAGGAATGAAGTTTGATGCTGAACTCGCAACGTTTCTTCTAGACTGGTAACTAATCAGCTGTTAATGCTAACACTGGCTATGTTGCAAAAGCAAAACTTACAAATAGCTCCTTTAAGGTCTACAGGACAAGTTTAAGTATCACTCTGTGCTTGATTGATCAAAAGTTGTTACATGCATTGTATAACTCCTTAATAAATCCTACACTTTGCTCAGAGATTTTCAATTTGCCAATATTTCTATTTGTACATAGTGGAGTGAAATCAGGACTGCAGCTCTTTCTGCCCTTTCCTTTTTATTTGGTGTGAACAGACATTATCAGAGGCCTTGAGAAGCTTTTTCCCTTCAATTTTGGAACATTTTTTAGCCTTTATGGGGCAATGTCATCATTCTAGCATCATAACAAATAAGGATGTGTTGGGATGAAATAAGCTGCATTTCTCAATTTTCTGTCATTTTCTCAGAAGGCAATTTTTGGCAGTCGTACCTGCATTTTTTCATTTGTTATGAACACCAAAGGGCCTTGTTGGACCAGGACCTCATTTATTTCTCATAAATATGGTGGGTTCAGCCGCATGAGAGAAAGATCTTATTTTCTTATCATAACTATTGAAGCTGTGTATTTATATTTGTGATCTGTATTGAATATACAAAGAAGCAGCTTTTCTGTCAGATTACATGATGCAAACAAACTTTCTGACCGCTGGAGACTGCTGTTCATCTTATTTGTTCACACAGGCAGCTTGCAATGAATCAAAGGCAGGTGGATATGGTCTTAAAGATGTTTCACCCCTTATCCAAAGGAATTCAACACTTCAAACGACAGGTGGAGAGTCAGAGACATTTTAACCTCTGTGTGTTATTCACACCTTAATGTCAGATGAAGAAAGTTGCTGAGTTTGCCTTTTACTTTGTACTTGTAGAGGCCTTCTGATCTGGATGACTGAGAATCTGGATGAATAAATGGCTGCACAACATACCATGTAGTAGCGTAATACAAAGCACACTAGAACAACAGCCCCACACGTGCATCGGCATATTATTACACTGCGATATGAGACGTGTGATTGTGTGTGTCTTTATGTCCACTGTGGGATGTGGAAAGATTGCTGACGTAGCATGTCAGCTTAAAATTGTTTTATCTAGATCACAAGCCTTGACAGCCATCCAAACTCCACAGAGGATCATCCATTACCGTGTCTGCATGTGCGCTCTGAAGCCCACTGTGTGTGTGTGTGTGTGTGTGTGTGTGTGTGTGTGTGTGTGTGTGTGTTTCTGTGTATAACAGGGTCAACATGAACACGTGTGGACCTCATAAGGAAGAAAATATCCATCCAGCTAAGACACAGGCTCTTCTCCAAACATCAACCATTACAGAACACAGTGACCTCATTATCACATCGCATGGAAGCTGGAGCACTGATATCATTTTATATTGATGCACACTGCTGTACAGTGTGTGACGCTGCAACCAAAGTTTCCCAGTCCAGCACACATCCATGTAGGCTCCAGCTCAACTGATTACTGCCTGGTAAAAGGCTTTGCACAGCAGGACGGCCCACTGGCCCACAGGAGCAGTTGGTTGTCTGTAAGGGAGTGTCTGTGTGTGTGTGTGTGTGTGTGTGTGTGTGTGTGTGTGTGTGCGCGCGCACGCACGCGTGTGTGTGTGTGTGTGTGCATGCATGCGTGCTTGGCAGTAAAAAGGCTTGCCGTGTCACTGTGGTGTACATCTTCAACTCTGCAGCCAGAAACTGTATCGTCTGAGGCGCAGCTGACTTTCAAAGTGCAGCTGCAGCAGAGAGCACTGCGGCAGTCAAGGGTAAAATATTTTTATACAGCAGCATTAGATGACCAAGAGGTCCACTTACTGATTTGCTTGAGCAAAAAGGCCTCGAGGGAAATTAGGGAGCTGAGAGGGTAAAGAGTTATTTTATAAGATATTGGTTCAAAGTACTACTACTGTAATTATTCTGCACCATGTATTTGCACATCTCAGCTTTAGCAGTGATCATCGCTGTTGTACACAGGCTCAACCACTTTGTTCTTTTCAAGCATGTTTACACATGAGAGTAATTAAAGAACTCCTTTAATTACTGTCAGACCAACAGACTTTCTTTGCAAGGGTTTGTCATGTATAAGCACATCAGTATGTGGGTTTCTATGTATTCTAATCTTTTTGCATTAATTATCTGACCCTTGTCAGTTTCAAGACACCAACAGCAGCTTCATCAAGACACATATTGTTCATACATGTACATGTTCATATGAAATATAAAAAGAAAAAAAATATATTTGAGCTCAACCAACTTGCCATTTATCCATAAATCAATAAACAGAAAATTAATCAGTGCTTAATTTTTATAATTGATTAATAATTCACGTTATTTTTCAAACAAAAATGCCAAAGTGTGCTAGTTTTTGTTTGATAGTAAACTAAATATCTCTGGGTTTTGGATGTCTGTTTTGTGACATTTTACATTAGCATTTTTTTATCAATTGATAATGAAAATCACTGGTTGCAGGATTTAAAGTATATTATGGCAGAATTAGCATCCAGTTGTGTACTGTTTTTGCTGAGCCAAATAAATGTGGTTAATGATCAAATTGTATTGCATTAACAAAACACAGTGAGGCAGTGAGGCAGTGAGGCCTTTAATCAGCAGCATCTCTTGCCAAAACAGTCCTGTATTCACAATAGTCATGTTGACTGGTCCTATCAGAAAAAATACTGGTGGAAATAACATTAAAGGTCCCATATTGTATCAAGTATTATTTCTATGTCTTTTGATTATAAAGCTAGGTTCTATATTAATACTGTGAAAGTATCAAAGCCTCAGTCCACAGAGAAATGCACACAGCCTGTATTCAGACACTGAGCCTTAAAACCAGCCGTCAGGACTTCTGTAACTTTGTGATGTCACAACAAAGCAGTCACTGCTCTCAGCCATGTCCCAAGCCCTGCCCTCCTCTGCTATATTTTAATTTGATCACCCAGAAAACAGTCAGCCAATCAGCAGGGAGAGGCTCAGAGCCTCCTCTCTTCTGATTGGCTCAAGCTCCAGAGAGAAGCCTTGGAGAGGAGATGTAAAACTACACTAAGATGGTTATTGGTTCTTAAAACCTCTTCTTATGGATCAACACTTCAAAGGTGTAGTAAGTAAGTAAGTGAGTCAATAAGTCAGTAAGAAAGGACAACAAGCCAGCATGTACAATACAGGAGCCTGGAGATAGCAGTCATTACTGAAATTAATATTGACACCAGTGCTTTTCTTGCTATAGGACGTATGAAAATGTTAGCTGAGAGAAAAGACCCATTATAAAAAGACTGACATGACTAGTAGCAAAAATACTGGAGGAAAAGTCAACGCTTGAATGAATTTGTTTTTGTTGTTGTCTTCACAGCTCACTGCAAACAGCAGCACAGAGAGCTGGTGATTGAGAAAATAGGGTGCTGTGTCTATGATAAACAGAAAAAAAGAAAATCAGTTGCAAGAGGAAAGAGAGTCTGTGTGTGATTGGAAGTGTACTGATAAACAGTAGTGTGAAGTGTTTGTAGGGAAATTTGGGTAATGACTGAAACAAGTTAGAATCTGACTGTAAGCAGACAGGTTGGTTTGTAAATCTGCGAGTGAAACCAGACAACACTGTCAAGTGTCACATGTATTCACCAAATACAAATAAACAAGGAAAATGTAAACTAACACTCTGCTTTACCTCGCACTCATGCGAGGAATGTCACTTGCCGACTGGATTCTCACATCTCTCTTTCAGTCACTCTCTGTTTCTGCAGCCATGCCAAGAGGGCCTCTCTCTACTGCCCCTGTGGCTGCTGGGTAATATGTAGATGTGGTCAGGGAGAAGTCTTTGATTGGCCATGCAGCCAACATGAATTTTATGATTGGTGTGTGAGCACTTCAGGAGAGACTGGTATTTATAGATATGGCTCATCAGAACACTGAAATCAGAGCCTCTGGACCTCATGGTTATTCCTGTAGGAGCCATGAGTCTGCTTGCACACACACACACACACACACACACACACACACACACACACGCTCAGACAGATGTCCCATAAGTGCGAACAGCACAACACAACCATCTCCTAACTCTGGTTCATCTATAAAACTAAATATCTGTGAGGATGCACGATAGTTCTCGCTAATTAGCAGAACTTTCCCATGTACCATAAAATCATGAAAAGAGCAGCTGTTTGCACGTTAGTCATTAAATCCCCCATAATGTACAACAGTGCCCCATTAAACACTTTTCTTCTTCCCTGTGTCTGCCACACACACACACACACACACACACACACACACACACACACACACACACACACACACACACACACACACACACACACATCCCCACCCTAAAACATAAACTGCCTCTCATTCCTCAGATACATGTCCACATCAGCTGGACATTCAGAGGATATCTTAACCCTGGCAACCACACACACACACGCACTCACACACACACACACACACACACACACACACACACACACACACACACACACAGCATTATTTGGTGGGCAGGCATACAGAGTGGTGGGTTCATACATAGAAAGTAATTTCTTACAGGGATAGAGTTACTCTATAAACACCTACAATAAATCACAGATTGTCTAATTAATGTGTGAGTGTTAAGCGACAGATCTATTAACCTGTGAGCACTAAAGAGAAATTAAGAATCTGAGGATGACACACTGAAAAGTGGAATTGAGTCGACTGAGCTGCAGTGATTGTATATGACACGGGCAAAGTTACTTGACCCACATATGCAAGTGACAGGAACTAAATTATTGGGGTTTTTTTCTCTCCATGGTCAATCAATGTCCCGTCTTCAATGACTTACTGTATAAAACAACTTCATAAATATATAGTATTTGCGTTTTCTGTGAGAAAAAGAACAAATACAACCAGAGGTTCAACTTGACCAGTAAATCCATTTAGTCGCTCTCTGGAGCTTTTCATCAGATCCCATCTTGAGCCATGATTCTCGAAGATCATGTGATATGGTCAAAAGTAACAGAACAGCAACTAAACCTACCCAGGAGTGAGAACTGCTCAACTGCTGCTTCTACATTGATTTTTAAACCTCGGCCTTGAATCCAACGATGGGGACAAGACGTCCTTAAAGTAGATCTACAATTTCATGACAAATGGGCAAACGTCATCTACTGATGAAGATCAAGTAACATGATCAAAAGTTCTGGATCTTTTTTCCCATCTTACAGGGATTTTCTCGATACTTGAGGATAACCTTCGATTTATACAGGAAAAAAGCAACAAAATCTAAACATCTGATTCATTGAGTAAGAAAATATTTTCACACTGAACCCAGCATGTTTGTATTCCTCTGTCAGGAATCAGTAATCTATGTTTGCAAGATGAGTACAATAGCCTGTGTCTACATGTGGAACAACAGTGTTAGCTGAGGAGATCTGAGTAACACTGCATATTCAAAATGCAACATGTCTTGGTGTCTGCAATGACAGACTTCTTTGATGAGAACATATAAAGAAGCTCTTTTATTCTGAAGGACTGACATCACTGAGGTTCTGGTAGAAGTTTCTCTGATCTTGCATCATGTAGGTTCAGCCGGTAGACCACAAAACAACAACAAGACAGAGTCAGAGTGCAAGTGCTGCACATCGCCCATAGCCACTCTTCAGCTGGTAATGTTAAATCGTTGCCCTTTATGGCTGCAGGCTGTTTGTGTAACTTCACACACAGCAAGAAAAAAAAAAATCCAAGTCCATCAGTTACTTACAGTATCCACAGCGAGTCCCCCCCTCGAACACGAACCCATTCGGCACAGCACCATATCGACGCAACGCAGACAACTTCCAGTGGCCAATGACCACAGGAGGGAGACCTCTGGTGAGGACCAACAGGTTGTTGCACAGGTGGAGGGAGGCGGGGCCGCTTTCCAGCTTGGTGCCCGGTTCGACATTGACACTGAACCTGTGGACTGAAGCAGAGAGAGAGAGAGATAGAGAGAGAGAGAGAGAGAGAGATGGGGGAATGAAAAGGTTGTAAAGAAAGACAATTGAAGTATCATTGATCATAAAGCACATCCATCACACAACAGATGAGGTGCAACATGAAAATAAACCATCCGTGCATCACACACACACACTCACACACACACACACACACACACACACACACACACACACACA